GGCTAAAGATTTAGCAACTCACTTCAAATTTCCTTACCAAACTAAGCTTACTGTAAACGTTTAGCACTTTAGCCACACTGCCTATGACTACTTATTAGATGTCATATTTGTTCTTACATTTTCTCTTTGACAGTGGAACATTTTTTGCTTTGAATAAATTTTTAGAATCTGGACTATGGATAGTGTTAACTTTTAATGTAAAGTAGTGCAAATCCGGGTAAAGTTAAAGGCCGTCTGGGAAGCCCAATGGGCGGTCGAAAGTCGAAAAAAAAGGTAAAACCGGGGAAAGTGATGGGTGGTTTGAGAAAGGATCAATAGCATATGGAAACTGTAAATCATTGTCTTTTCTGTGTCATTTTATCTAAAGCTAAAATGGTTGTGGAACTCCGAACTCGGAGCCGTGAAAGCCAAAATCGTTAGAGAAAATGATTAATTTTCAGTATTTCTAGATTTTGTTTTATGGAAGCTAAATCTATATTCTATAGTACCACTATTATCTAATTCTGCCTATGTGATTTTGATAGTGTTTAGGTCATTTTCCTTTGATTTTAAATAGCATTAAATAAAATAAACATTGCTGACTTCTTGCCCGCTGTATTATTGTTCCAAGATTCCAAAAATCAAAGAAAATAATACTGTAGACTAGCACTGCATACTTCTTGCCCTTTGTTCTCCATGCATGTTAGATATTTAGCTCAACTTCTTTGTTCTTCATCAATCTTTCTCTTCTTCTTCTTAAACAAAGCTCGGCCACCAATTTTATTTAAATCTCTCTCTGCTCAGCTCTTTACTCCTATGTGGCAGATATTACCATCATGTCTTCACCATTAGTTCTTTCATCACCATTTGACGACTACAGGCTTGGCCTTTTCATTTTTGCGGTTAATATGTTTGATAAAAGTCTTATGAAAGCCTTTTCAGACCTTTTTAATTAAATTTTTAAAAATTATGTGCTTCCTGAAACAAAATAAATTGGCACACCTAACCTTCTAAAAGATAACTTGAATTACTGTTTTGTTTTCCAGTAGCCAAGAACTATTTTAGGGCTGGCAAGTCTACAAGTGGCTGGAACTTAAGAGATATCACTTGGGCATGTCCAATGACACTCTCGATACAAGAAAGAGACATTGCCTAATGGTAGAAACATGCATAGTGGTACACGGATTTCATCACAGTTGCAATTGGTCATTATTAGTTAAGATGAAAAATTAATCAAGGGAGCAGTGAGAAGAAGACAAGCATGGTTCCGTTAACAAATTGATTAAATAAACAAACTATATCTCTTTTGTTTAGGGGTGAGTCAGAAATAAGAGAGATTTGTTGATGCAGTGGTATTAGTGAGTACACGGCCTCTTTGTCTTAAGTTTTCATTTAAATGATGTATGAATTTGTAAAATTTTCTCTCTTTGAACTGGTGAAGAAAGTTTTGTCTGATAAAACTCTTGATTTTCTATCTTGAACTGATTTGTTTGCTTTCTTCTGTTGAGTTTCTGACTATAGTTTCCATATTCCATATGTTCATTTTATTAATAATAACATCCTGTGTTCTGTGTATTTCATACGTATTAACTATTAAGTGAACTTTCGGTGTAATTATTGCAGGATTTTTGCCATGTTCCCTTATTGTTTTTTAAATAGCATTGGAAAACCCATTCTAATTTGTTTACAGTCTCACATTGCAGCTTATAACACACATCAAGCAGCTTTCTCTTACAATTACAGAAGCTATCAAAACCAAAGGGCTAAGTTCTTAATGAAGATGGCTACCATTTTGGTGAAAAGTTTGTCCAAGAAATCCCGTTTTCTGTTTTAATTTAGGGGGTTGTGCACGTATTGGGCTATTGGCACTCCTTTGATCAACACTTACCATGGATTCCATGGTAAGGTGTAACAATCCCAACCGGGTTCTTCTATTTTATATTCCTATTTGGTATTGGAAAAATGGATAATTTCAGGGATACTTTTGATGAATCTTGGGAGTATATAAGTTCATACAGATTACAATTTTAGTATTGAATGAGGAAGGACTCTCTTAGTATAAGGTCTAAAGCACTTGCTAATATTCAAATTGGAAACTATTCATTCTGTTAAATTTACATACGCCATTTCTATAAATCAATTTTCAAACTAAGCTAAAAGAATATCTGATATCTCTTCCTTTCCTAATAAAACCAAATAAAATCAAATTAGCTTTAGCCTAAATATCTAATTGCACTCTTGATATAACAAAGTCAATTATTATCATATATGCTTCAGTTACTTTAAGAACTTTACTAGGACATATAACTTTGTTTGCAAGTGCTTGTGTTTAAATAAAAGCACTTTTTGGGAAAAGTGATTAATAGTAAAAGTTGGTAGTGTTTGGTAAAGTAGGTGCTTTTGTGTAATAGAAAAAGTAAAAAGTAGATTCTACACGAAAATCGAGAAAGTAAAAGTTGGTAGTGTTTGATAAAATAAGTGTTTTTTAAAAAAAAAAGCCACAAGCACTTTATTTAAGTGTTTGCAAACATTTATTTATCTGATGTAAATTCACAAGTAATTGTAGCTAGGAGAAAAGAATGGGCAAAAAGTGTTTATGGAAATGACTCGACACAATATTCAATACTAGAAATACACAATGTTAAGTAACAAGAAACTTAGGCCACTTAAGCCAGGAAGATCAAGTACGAATACAACATTAGTACGAATATCTTTTTAGAATATTGTTAAACTCGAGCGGTGTTTGCTTAAGTTACATTCAAGTATCATTTTTAATGATTTCTACATTACACTCTTTATTTTTTTATTTCGAATTTTTGATACTAGACTCTAATTTAATTTAAAAGTTGGGGGAGATTTCTGGTGCTGAGGCTGAAGTGGCTTTCGTCTATGGATAACTCTATTTTTTTTACTCCAGGGGGAGTCTGGGGGAGGAGGGCTAGGGGAGCCTGGAGTGGCTGAAACTCACTCCATTGAGTTTCAAACCCTTATGTACCTAGCAGGTTTCGAACTCGAGTCGCGACCTCCCACTAGACATGTCTTAGCAACAGAAATGTCTCTTCTGTTTATAATGATAGCTGCTATTGTATGGTTATCATAGCCACCTGTGATTTTCTTTTCTTTCCCTTGATTTTTAGCTCACTGATTTAATATGGAGTAACTTTTACATGTGAGAGTTCAACTTCATATTATCATATACAAGTTGTCAGATCTTAAGTAAATATAAATCATAAATATGAAACAGATTGATACTCTCTTATCATATTACGAGTTCGGACTATTCTATTTCTTTCATTTTTCCATACATTTATTTGCAAAAGGAATGTGAAAAAGTGCTTAGGGGTTAGATATGTGTTCATTCAAAATAAATGGATGTTTTTCTCAATTTGTGTTTGTAATGACAGTGAGCAAGAATCAAGGAAAATCATTGAAAATCACGAGTACTTATTCGTAGTCTATCATGATCTTACTAATAAATAATTTTATATGACATTCTTGAGAATAGCAAGGGGAATCTGAAAAGCTACAAAGTGTGTACAACATCTTCACGAATTGTAATTTGTGTGCTTAGCAAGATTAGTTACTATCTGCTCCCACGCATAGTGAAGTTCTCACTTTCCCTTTTTAGATGTCCCACATAAAGCTTCCAATTTCCATTTTATTAAACAATCAACAATCTAAAATGATAAATTAATCATCAAATATTAAAAATAATACATCTATAACATCACAATGATCAACACTAACTTCATTACATTATATATCTATTAAAAATATTTTTCAAAATATACTTGAACTATCTTATTTAATTAATGTTTTAATTAATTGTGTTGTTTTCAACGGGATGAAGGTAGTATGTATTAATTGTGATTTCTGTCATTTTATGAGGCCGTTTGGCAACACTGTTTTTTCGGCTTATCAGGCTTATCAGCCATTTTTTTCACCAAACACATAACTTTTGCTTTCGTTCACTGGATTGTATAATAAGCAGAAAAAGTAAGGTTCAAGTTACTTTTCTGGCTGTATTGGCTGAATTTACTGTAAATAATCATTTAATCTACTTTTTTCTTTATTTTATTAATAAAATATATCTTAAAAATAATTTTTTCTTAAATCAGCAGAATCAGCCAATGCAACCACTTCAGCCAGAACTTCATAAATTTCAGTAGAATCAGCCAAATCAGCCGATTTTCGTACTACCAAACGGGCTCTATGTGACAAAAAACGGGCTCCGAAAATCCGTTCTATTTTAGTTGTAACATTTCCATTTTCATGTTTGTCAATACTCAACTTTGACCATTAATATATTTAATTCTCTAATTGTAAAAATTTCAAAAAAAATCGCATTTTGGAAATTCAAAGTGAGATGAATTTAATACATAGTAATATTTTGTTTAAAAATAAAATTTTTATGTATTCATAAATAAAAACAATCGACGTAGTAGACATGAATAGTGTAAAATTTCTAATGTTGCAACTATTTCAAACCGGAGGTATCTATGTTTTAAAATTGAGTTTATATGTAGACGTGTATAATATATGTATATTACATCCCGTGCAACGCACGGGTGAAAAACTAGTTTCACATAAAGCAAATCTAACGGTACAAATTCATTCTCATTTTTCTCATAACATCATGTTCTTGTTTGAACCAAAAGCTATATATATATATATATATATATATATATATATATATATATATATATATATATATATATATATATATATGGCTAGGTCACCATAACAACTTTCTTAACAAACTGGGGTATAATTGTAAATAATAGGAAATATAATTAAAAAGACTAAAATGCCCTGTCCTTTATGTAGCTGCCATATCACCAGCCCAGGTATCGGTATTTCAATTAACTTCCATTATGTAATCAGTCAGCCAAAGTAATAGAAGTTACTAAAACCAAACTTCGAAAGTATGAATACTTTGTCAAATTCAAGTCAGTTATTATACTTGGTAATACTTTCTTCCATCAGTAATCAATCTAGCTGGTGCAATTAATTGAGTTAGTGTTAGAATTTGATAGAACAGAAATATAAGTTCTTTAAACGGACATTAAAACATGTGTAACCCCTTGCAAGCGTTCATTATGAAAACATTCCAGGAGGATAACCATAGCCCAAGGACTTGTCAATGTGCAAAAAAATGAAGTCACAAGGAAAATCATTCTGTGGAACATGCAACACGCACCATCTGAAATGTGATACTATAGAGAAAAGAACAAAACACTATCATGCCCGTATCGAATTATGTATGTACAAAAACAAAATGAGCAAAAAACGGGGGCACAATGCGATGGATGCAGAAAAGGGGGGATCAACATGGCAACTCGTAGAAGCCCAGACAGCATATTTGTGTGTCCCTGAACAGCTCCTCGATGCATCTGCCACAATCAAGAAATAATATGTATCAAATCTTTTTTTCCTCCAAGTGGGTCTGGGGGAGGGGGCTGGGGTGTCAGGAGTAATCAGGGTTGAAACTCACTCCATTGAGTTTCGAACCCTTTATGTGCCTAGCGAGTTTCGAACTCGAGACCTCTCACTAGACACAGTAACATCACAACCAGCTGGGCTAGAATGCTTGGTTATCTCTTCTTTATTAAATTTCTGAAGGAACATTGAACTTTTATTGTTCAATGTTCGAAGGAAGGGAAGGGATGAATGTTAAGGCTATGTTTAGTTCAAGAATCGAGGGTTTCCGAGGGAAGAAGGTATAATACACCCCTCCCCTCATTTTAGTTAAGAAATTCAGGAGGGGAGGGATACAAATGCTAGCCTGTTGTTTGGTAAAATGATGTGGGGAAAGATAATACGTAGTAAAAAAATTATAAACATAGCACCCTTATTTTATATTCTTGATTATTTCATTAAAGGTTTTAGTCAATCAATTATTACATAAACCACAACATTATTTACAAGCATATTTGGTTTATAGTTGAATAAGCTGTTTATTCTTTATTCGGAGTATATGATAAGAAGTGTGACATATTGTTATAAAATTTAATTTTGAGTTATTTGCAAACAATCAATTGCAAAATATATTCAAATACATTATGAGAATTAATTTTTAAAGTACTACTAATAACATCGCCTGGAGGGAAAAAAATGTGTTTCGATGATAATCAGGAATAGATGGGCTAAAGAAGTATACGACACAACAGAGAATGAGAATATATTCCTAAGCAAAACAGGATGGTAACTTGGTCTAAAAGTAGAAAACCTTCATTTTCTTTCCAAATTTCACCAATGCTGAAGGAGAGGGGCTATTTTTTCTTACCAAACAAAGCAAAGTGATAACAATCCCTCCCCTTGACTTCCCAATAACCAAACACCATATACTAGAGCCGATACGAATTTTGTATAAACTGTACTCTCTCCATCTTTATGGTTTGCTCAAATAGGGTTTTCATGGACTTTAAGAAGAAAATTGCAAGGGTAGTGAATACTAGGAGATATAAGATGAAAAAATAGATATATTAAGAAAAATATTATGAAAAAGTTATGAACAGATACTATAATAGGTTTAGAAGAATATTCCAAAAAAAAATATTATGAAAAAATTAAAGGTATTTATGTAAGTAAAACTTGCCAAATCAGGAAATTTTACACAAAAGGATTACGGGAAAAATAATAAAAACAGGGAGGGACTCACCTGGCTTATCATTCACGAGCAATTTTGGTGTCAAAGCTGCTGAGGCAAATAGCAAATGCCTGGAAAGCCGAAATCGGATACTGATAATCCATTGTATACACATCCTTTCCAACTTTCCCAAATTGAAGAATGACGCTTTCACGTTCATGTCCAACTCTACCCTCATTTCCCATAGAAGAAGCGACCAACTGGAAGTTTTTTACTGAAGCAACTGTTACCCGCCCATGGAAGTTAAGGCACCAGCACTGAAGTTGCTCGTGCCACCCTGGAGCCTTGTTCCTCATTGTTAAAACATCGTCTTTCTGAGCTGTTAAGGTTTCGGATTGGATACTATCCGCACACTTGGATTTTGAGCGGAAAAATGGAAAAGAAGGGAATGAATCTATGCTGACAGGAAGGAACTCAGTTTGTGTGGGGGCTACACCTCCCGGTTCAACAGATGAAGCGGGGATCCCATCCATGATGCATTGCATTCTCCTTGGTCCTCTTTCCTCGCCAAAATAAAATTAAATTTCAAAATTCATTTTTGTGGGAACATAAATACATATTGAAACTCTGTATTGGTGGTCTAAAATGCTTTTAGCGGCCTCCATTTCCACAACATCTAACCGCTCTGCTACATAGAGTCTTGTAGCACCAGGCGCCCCACTGTTATAGCGCCGCTATTGACATAGCGACAAAATAATCTCGTTTAACGGGTCATGCTTCCCTGAACACTCCCTAAGACTCAGCAACCTATTGTTCAGGTAAAACTTAATTATATGTATCACTCTTATTACCCATGTACTGGAATTTTGAGTAAATTTATTATTTTTAACAAAATTTTATGTGAAATTTCATATTTATAAATCATATGCAGTAGAATTCTAAATTTTAAAGTTTGTTTTACAAAAAAAATGGTAGATTTTTAACATACTTGCCGATATCAATACTGATATATCTATCAATATATCCATAAAAGTAGAGTATCGATATATATATATATATTATATATATGTATATAGTTATTACCAATATATTAGAATCTAGAGTAGCTTTATCAAAATTTTATGTTAAATTTAGGATTTAAAATCATATGCAGCAGAATTCTAAAACTTAAACTTTGTTTTACAAAAAATGGTAGATTTTTGACATTTTTTGCCAATATCAATACTGATATATCTATCAATATATTCATAAAAGTAAAGTATATATAGGGTATTGTTCCAATGAGAACAAGACTTATCATGAGAATGTGAGAACACCCCCAATGTGATGCACATAGGAGCGCGTCTATTGCACTTTTTTAAACTTTGATCGAATCAAGCCAAAATCAAATAAATGCGGTGACATTTTGGTAAATACTAAATATGCCAACGTGAAAAGGTGAAATAAACGAGCTTCATTGTGCATCACATTGAAATAAAAATGTGTGTTCTTACGTTCTCATGATAAGCCTTGTTCTTATTTGAACAGCAATTTATTTATATGTATGTGCGTGTGTGTGGTGATGTTCCAATGAGAAGAAGCCTTTAGATAAGAAATGAGAATAAATCTAAACCGTTTGATTTGATTATGTTGCGATAAAAGAGGTTCACATTGTATTGAGATATGCAACTATGCGCAGTGGCATTTTCGTAAATACTTTTGAAATATTCGAACAACACCTCTCTAGTGCAACATGAAACTGTTTTAGTGCAACATCGACAAATCCTAGTGCAATACGAAACTGTTTTAGTGTAACATCGGAAAATTTAAATACTAGTATAACATAAAGCTTGTTTTAGTGCAACATCGTAAATCCTACCGTTGAGATTCATTCTCATTTCTCATATTAGAGCATTTCTCATCTTAGAGCATTTCTCAATTTGAACCAAAATATCTTTCTATACATATACCCTACTAATATTTTCACCTTTAATACCCAAATGGACAGAAAATGAATTGTTTACCTCTACTTACAGTTAAGTCATCGGAGTATTTTGAGAACCACTCAATAGTAGGGATAGTTTTGAAATAACTGATAGTTAAAAATATTCAAAGCAGGCCAGCCTGGTTGCAAATCGCAATTCCTATCTTTAATATTTCCAAAAAACATATATTGATTCTCGAAGTCTGTCTAGCCCCTTATTGCTCTAAAAACACTTATGACTAATAAGCCGAACACTGAGACTGTTTTTGTTCAATAACACTTTTAGCCAAAACGCTTATGCTAAAAAGCTAAAACTACTTTGATTCATAAGCAGGCTTCTTCACACAGGTAGGCCAAAAACACAACTTTAGCATATAAATAACAGGCATGCAACAATTCAGTGTTCAAGAGATAAACATATAACAAATAAACGTTTTACTCCCAATTTTCACAAGACGGGAAGCAATCTTTGCTTACCTAGAACCAAGAACATTTGATTCATAAGAAATGTGAGCTACAGGATAGTTTCCAGATGGTATACTTGGAGAGATTTGTTTGGTTCCCACCAGCTTGGTAGAATGAGATTTAGTAAACTTGACTTCAGAAGGGGGCTGTGCATCATAAATTACAAACTTAGTCCCCAGAAAGTTAGACCTGCATACCCACGTGAGCAAAAAGCACTCGTCAGAAAGAAAGACATAAAGTGACGAACAATACAAAGTAAAACAGTATGGAGTTTTAGGTTTCTCCTCACCTTAGCTTTCCAATGTAGGAACGTCTGCCCTTTGAGATATTTTCAGGGTTTAAGGAGATGATGTATTCTGTACATGTTGTCCGTCTACACTTTTGAGCAGCAAGAAGGAACTTGCCGTCATCATTAGATGCTGTTGGAGGACAAAGATATTGAAAAAGTTAACACCAAATTATTGGTGGAAGTTGTTATGTATTTCAATGGGATGCTTCTCGGATCTATATTAATTGTATAGAATGATGAAAACCTCACCACTTGGGGATTTATGGCATGAGTTAGGCCCAACTTAACATGATATCAAATCCTAGTCTGGTTAGGGTTTGTTTGTCAGTTTGGCACTCATGGTTTGAGTAGTCCATTTTGGGTTCAGTTTATAATTTATTCACCCCTCAAGATATCAATTTAGACTAAGGGTGTGTTAAGTGTCCTGTGGCCCACATAGGATGTTTACGAGATCAATATCAAATACTTCCTCCGTTCGGTTATAAGTGCAACATGCACTTGGGCACGAAAATTAAGACACCATGTAAAGGTGTTGAACTTCTCTATTTTACCCTATGAAATACGAAACAGCAGCCACAAAGAAAGAAGTGCTACAGTAACCAGGTAAAATTATTACAGCCGACAGAAAACAGTACCCCCCCCCCCGGTGTACTGCTCAGTTTTGTAGTACGTATTGCCCCGGTGTACTTCCACCTTAATCCGCCTAGCCAGATGCTCATCGGAATCTCGCCTTTGGATCTCGCCTTAACTCCGATTAACGGAGTCTTCTCACCCCGGCGTGAAGCCAGCTCAACAACCCCCTCGTCCGCTTCCGCTAATCGTCATCCCACGTGAACAGATCCAGCCGCCGCAGAAACCGACCGCCGCCTAGAAGCAACCATTACCACCGTGTCTCTCAGCTCGTGGGGAGTAACCGGAGCAAAATCAGTTTCATGTCCTTCCATGTCTTCCATTTTGACAGGCCGTAAATTAAAATACAAATAAAAAAATGAGGGAAATGATGGGGGGAGAAATGGAGAAATAGCTGAGTTGGTGAAGAGAGTCACAGATGAGGATATACACAAATGGAAGAGGAAGGTGGTGTAAAGAGATGGAATCGGTGGGTGGGTACCGGTGAGTAAAGAAATTTAAAAAAAAAAAACAGGAGGTCGGCCGTAAATAATGAAGGGTATAAATGTCCTTTTGCTTAGTATTTCCTTCCCAAAATGGAAAGGTTGCATTTATTTTGAAACTGCCGAAAAAGGAAAGTGTTGCACTTATTTAAGAACGGAGGAAGTATATAACTGTGATGTAAACCTCACTCTGAATTATTCTCCTCTTAAGTATTCCTATGGGGAACCAAGCCCAACGAAACATAGAATGGAGTGGATGGCAATGATCCAGTCCCTGACAGCCCCTAAGTGCGGTGGAACACATATTCTAGTTAAGATTAAGGTACCACTTTACTCAACTCTGAAAGAGTTATCAAGAGATGAGGTTCCTAAGACTTACCAAGAGTTTCATACATTTACACGTATCCAATGTGGCACACACTTCAGACTCTTCTATATGTATAGTTTTTATATTTTTTACTTATAAAAAATTATAGAACGAATTATGTTTGCAACCCAAGTACCCAACTAAAGTTCAAATTGTGGATGCCCCAACTCCACCAATGAGCACCATGTTGGGGCCATATAACAATCAAAGAAATATTGCATATTGTATTAATTGAAGCTAACCAAGTAAGAAGTGTAGAACAATTAGTTAAAAAGGACCACCATTGTATAACCATTCATCAATGGATGCCACTTCCCATATTGGATAAAAATGTAATGATGTATAGCAGAAAACTAACCTTCACTGAAGTTTAAATAAAGATGATATGTTTGTGAACTGCGGTTACGCTTTATGAAACATTGGCAGAGAGTATCCCTTGGTCCTGGCTACAAAATACAGTACGAAAGTATCCCATAATTGATTAAGAACACAATAAATATTCCAGCCGGCAGACAAAGTATACAAGAATAACTAAGGACAAAGACAAACCAAACTAATATAACATTGAAGGGTAAAGGTTCCATTTAAGTATACAAAAGTGTATTAAACATGTGAAAATGAATCACAAACCAGTGTTTAGAAAAGGAAACGGAGATTTTGATGAATATAGCACACACAGTGCACCTTTTTCGGTCCAGTACACTGAAAGATAGATGGATTATCAAAAAAATTATCAATCCAGCGCCTATGTTGTTAAGTTTAGTAAAAGTAAAATTCAATAAAGTCATTTTATACCACCATGCATTTGGTCAAAAATGCATTTCATTAACTTAGTCGGGATAATACCACCATGATTGCGCGTTGACCAAACAATAACAGGAATTTTATCAATCTAGGACATGAAAGATAAATGAATTATCAATCCGGGACCTGGAAGAAGAAATGTATCGATATAGGACCCGAATAATGGAAAACTATCAATTTAGGACCCCAAATGATCGAAATATATCAATCTAAGACCTAGGTTGTCATGAATTATATTTTATTTTAAAAAATTAAATATTATGTAATTTTATTAAACTAATAAACTTTTGTGAAGAAAAGTTTATAAAATATTAGCAATGGAATTAATAAATAATTAAATAAATAAAAACCCATGAAATGTTATGTCCTAGATTGATAATTTTCCATCATTCGGGTCTTATACCGATACATTTCATCTTTCAGGTCCCGTATTGATAATTCATCTATCTTTCAGGTCATGGATTGATAAAATTTCTTCTTCATTTTACAAGTCATATTGATTACATGTTCCCCACCCTAAAAATCTTTTGAACTAAATCTTGAATGTTGTTGTTGTATAGTTGATGCCTTGATGAATGCATAACTACAAAAAATAACTTGATTTCCACTTGGTACCATTCCCATTTGGCAGCTCATTGTCCGCTATTCTACATGCATTAAAACTCTCTTAATATGGGATAGGAAAATCATGTATGGAGTATGGTTGCTATTGCTAGCAGCAATCCCACAACCACCTCATTTTATTTTATTTTCTTAGGGTCTGTTTGGAATAGAGAAAATGTCAGGGGGGAATGCAGGGAAGAAAATATAGGAGAACTTTGGAAAGAAAGAAAAATGCCGAGGGAAAAAATATCGCTTTAATCTCAATAAATTTATTTTTAATATTTGTTTGAATACATTTTTATTAATTTACATGAATTATGTAGATAGAAAGCAATCTAAATATATATAAGTATTTCCAAAAATATACTCCCTCCGTCCCGTTGGGATGTTCTCGCTTTCCTTTTTTAGATGTCCCAAAAAGAAGTTCCCATTTCTCTAAATGGAAAGTTATCTTACGTCAAAACAGTGTCAAACAGTGCAAAACAGTGTCAAACAGTGTCGAAACAGTGCCAAACAGTGTCGAAACAGTGAAATTTACCCTCTGGCAAGTTTATTTCCTTAATATGTGTAGGTCAAACCGGGAACATCCCAACGGGACTGAGGGAGTATTTCATTTTCCTTTGCATATTATGAAGAAACCCACACATTAGAAAACAACTGTTCTTTCAATAGCATTTTCCAAGATCCAATCACAACATTGAGGAAACTTTTCAAAGAGGTTAAGCACTCTTTGAAAAGGATCCTTGACATTGGATCTCCCGCGCGGAGCTGGGGAGAGTTGGATCGCACAAACTGTCAAGCACTAGTATGTGAGAGAGATGGATCTAGTGGTCCCAACCCATGGAACTCCCAATTGCCAAATTTAGAGAAAAAAACAGCAACCAGTTGTCCAGTTGCCCATGGAGTGTTGTGTTGCCAATAAATAAGTCATGTGTGTACAGTTGCCGTTTCGATGCCAAATTTGGAAGGGAAACATCATAAATATGTCCAAAAGTAAAATCTAAGCACAACAAATGACAAATCAAGCCTAGCCATTCCATCTGATAGAAATTTCTTTAAAAAAGAAAAGATTGCGTTTTTATATATTTAGATTGGAATAAAACCTGTTTCAGAGAGATAGGGAATGTTAATCTGCCACAAACATCCGGTGGCTTAACAGTTTCTTTCATAATTTCTCTCCAGCTCCTGCAAACGCCGGCACAAGAAACCACACTTTTCCTAGGCGGCCATGTGGATTCAGAAGCCTCAATCCTCTTAAGAACATCCCTCAAGAGCTCAGGTGGCATATTAGCCCAACAGCCCTGCCTCAGCAAATCTACCTGTTCCACAAAGCTGTCCTGAACCATCCTCCGTGACCATGATCGACCAAACCTCACCTCAAAACCTTTCCTAGAGATACCCCCACATTCACCTTTCACGTCCCGAGGGATTATACTTCTACGAGACATTCTCAAAGCCGCCCCAAGAATACCCAGACTGCAGAAGGACCACAGTAGAACAGAAGAGGCTAAAGCTGCAAGCTTTGAAGGATGGACCGGGGAATATCAACTGATAATTGATCAAGAATGCAAAAATGGCCGAGGGAATTGTTTCCCCTTCGTAGCTTACAGTGGAGCAGATCTGTGAATGGGTAAAACAAACTTTTTTGTAAAGTTGTGGAATCAAAAGGGCAGTCCTGAAAATCTGATTTGAGGGTTGATACTGTGGATGATGAATTTGGTTGGGGAGGTAGTGACTAGTGACGTAAACGCAGTCTTCTTGTTGGCGTTAATCGGGTGGGTTGCGTCGGAATAGGTTGTGCGGAGCGTCGAGAGGATCGCGTCAATGCTGTAATAGCGGGGTGTTAACGGAGTCGGTAATGCGGGTCGGAGATAAGGGTATGGTGGGTTATGGATCGGATGCCCACCATGTGGGCCATAGTCATGGGCATGCTTTTTCTTTTTGGTCGTCTGTGGACCATATTGTGAGTCAAAGAATATATGGACCATATTGTGAGTCAAAGAATATATGGACCATATTACATTACATAGACTAAATTAATGGTATTATACTTGCATAGAAAGAGTGGAGCTAGGCCTACACAAAAATTATACACTTTTTTGGAGTCCAATACTATACACCCGGGTGTAGGTACATCCGGTCCAATTATAGAAGAGTCCAATTAAGTTAGAAGCCCATAAGAAAAGGCCCAGTATTTTACCGGGTAACTACGGGGAGCTGCAACGACAGAACTCAAAAAAGTCCAAGTCTTTCCAGTACCGTCTCCACTTCTTCACTGGCCATGACCTTCAGATACGTCGGCGACTCCGCCAGTTTTGATTCGGGCGGCGGGATGGAGTTAATAGTAAGCTGCTGATAGTATTTTTGACCCAATCAAAGATTATTATGTAGAGAACTATCACAGGACCTATGAAGCCATTGATAGGCATGATAAGCAGAGCATAGGCAAAGGGTAACTTTGTCTTCTTGATTGAAATTGCCCGATTCAGATAGCCCGGATCTATCTCTAATGATCCTTTAAGTTGCGGGGTTTCCGGCCGGAGAAACAGATATGCATGATATACCAACAAATAGATGTGTTGTAGAATTGGGTAAATGAGCAATATTGTACTTTTAGTGAACATCTGACCTATTTTATTGGGTATTAGGAGACTAAGAATGAGTGTCACGATCTCCGCTTCATATCTTCTGACTTTTTTTGCTAAAGGGTCAAATAGTGCCATGACCTGACTTAAAGTGTTCAATTAGCCCCTTATATAGGAGGTTCTGCCCGGCCGTCGCCAATTGGGACAGTTCCCGATGGAATTTTTTGATGAAATTTTTTGAGCATTTTCTTCATTAAGTCTAGTTTACTCATACCAAATTTCAACTAAAAATTCAACCGAGAAGGTAGTCAAATGATTTTTTGAAAATAACTGCGAAGTTAAACAGCGCAGTAATTTCAGAAAATCATTTGACTGCCTTCCCGGTTGAATTTTTAGCTGAAATTTAGTATGGGTAAACTAGACTTAATGAAGAAGATGCTCAAAAAAATTCATCAAAAAATTCCACCGGGAACCGCCCCAATTAGCGACGACCGGGCAGAACCTCCTATATAAGGGGCTAATTGAACACTTTAAGCCAATTCAAGGGCCTTGATGGATAGTCTACCCGGGGGGTACCTTATCCGAGGGTTATTACGGGAATAACTTAGAGAGAAGTCAGAGATAATAGGAGGAGAGAGAGTCGATTTTATTAAATGAACTCGAGATGTGGAGTTGAGATGCCGATCATGTCCATTACAAGGAGAAATGGGCTGCTATTTATAGCAGCAATAAATGCGACGAGAGGACACGTGTCAGTAATCCAACGGCCGAAGGGTCACATCAGCCTGGTGGCACCGGCAGTGGTACGTCAACCGTATTGAATGCGGTTGGTGGATGCGACGTGGCATTAAATGCGGTGGTTGGCTGTCTCCAAAAGGAATCTTCGATGATTGAGCTTGTACAGTCATGACACCTTGTGTAGCCGAGGGCTCCTTGCGTAGCCGAGGGCTTCTTGTGTAGCCGAGGGCTTCTTTGTGTTGCCGAGGGCTTCTTGTGTAGCCGAGGGCTTCTTTGTGTTGCCGAGGGCATGAGAATGCCGAAGGCTCATGTCTTCGCCCGTTTTCTTCCAGTAGCTTCTTATGCCAGAGAGGGCTGTCCTGTGAGTTTTAGAGCCTTCGGCCAAGGAGGCCGAAGGCACCCCAGTGTGTATTCTGGGCTGCTTTGAGGCTTGGGCCGCGGTATTTGGGCCTGAGTTGTTTCCTGAGCTCAATGGACTTGTGTAGGAGAAGTGGGAGTCTACGGGCCGGGAGTTCCTGGGCCATATACTCCATCAGGAGTCCCTCACTCCTTTTGCCGAAAGGTACTTGAGGGAAAAGGAGTAGATGTGTTGCTTCTTCTGGAGGCTTCATCATTTCGCTGGGTGCTTTTGCTGGAGAACTTTGTCCACTGCCGAAGGCTTCCCTCAGTCCCTCACATGTCGAGGGTTTTCTGAGGGAAGGTATTCACAACCTTCGTATGTTCGCAGAAGGCTTTCCTCAGTCCCTCACACGTCGAGGGTTTTCTGAGGAAGGCATGGACGTATTGTCTGCATGTATTGTGACGAGGGCTGCCTTATTTCCGCAAGTGACTTGTGGAAACTTTTGCTATTCTGTCTTTGCCGAAGGGTGTGATTCCCGAGGGGTGTGTCCCAGTCCCCCACTCCTTTAGGCCGAAGGTGAGTTCGGGCTGAAGGAGTTATGATGTGTTGATGCGAACCCGAGGGGTGATAATACTGACAAGTCGGGGGCTTACGCTGCCGCAAGCTCGAAGGCGTTTGATGAAATTTGCTGGCAGAAGGGCGTGGTGCGTGATAGCCGGAGGCTACCATTCGAAGGCACCCCAGTTTTGCCGAAATATAGTCGTTGTAATATAGCCGTTGGAAGAGGGGTTGACGTGGCGTGTCCTCGTTGGTCGAAAGTGGGCGGGTGCCACCCATTGGCTGAGCCGGCGGCCCGTAATGATGGCCTTTCTAAATCGAGGCCCAGACTTCGAGGCTGGGAGCCTATAAATACCCCAAGCCCGAATTCATATCCCTTGTGCGATTTTTGTGATAGCGAAGCTCTGCCCTTTTGTTTTCTAGAGAGAGAAGGCCCTGTTCGATCAAACCCCAAGTTTCGAGGTCAGTTCTTCACCGTTCTTCGATTCTTCTAGCATACTTTGCTCTATTGTTCTTAGATTAAGTGTTAGAGCCTTCCTAGGAAACCCCCAGTATTCTTCTTTCCTTCCATACTTGCGTTCTCTCGATTCCGAAGGATGTCATCAGCGAGCGATTCCCAGAACCATTCGAGGGAGCCCTCAGCTGCAATAGGGAGCTTTTCTGATTCGGAGTCATCGAGCGAGCAGTCCTCGATCAATAATGACCTTGCCGTGGCTGAGGAGGTACAGAGTAACCTTCGGGTTGAGCTGGAGGCTGAAGAATTTGAACAAGTTGCTGCTGATGAAGAAATGGCCCTCGCACTTCAAGTAGCTGAGGAAGAAGAAGAGAGGGAACGACAGGAGGTTACGGTCGCCGTCTTGCCCCTTCGTGGATCCGGGGAGGCGAGTACCTCCCGGCCTCTGGATCCAGAACCCCTCAGCGTCGCCGTTGGAAAGAAAAGGAATAAGACGAAAGCTCACCAGAAGAGCAAGCAAACCGCTGTTGACTGCGGGAAGCCCGTGGGAATACCGGAGGGGCATTCGTGGCTGAATACTGCAGCCCTCGCTCTGAAGTCGAGGGCTGATCGGGCCGAATGCTACGTTACCCAGCTGCATGTGGGCCCCTCGGCCACCGTGATCGAACCGGGGCCCAACGATCTCCTCTCCCAAGCTCCCGAAGGATGCTTCGCCGTCCATGTGCTATCAGTTGCCATGGGCCTTCGGTTCCCGCTGCATCCCTTCCTCCTCGAGTATTTGAGGTATGTGGGTTTGGCCCCCTGCCAGCTAACTCCAAACAGTCACTCCTACATCACCGGCTTCCTTCAGCTTTGCCGGTCCCGAGGTGTAACGGCGACCCTCGATCTCTTTTTCCAGAGCTTCAACCTTTGCCGAGGGGGTCATACCAATTCCGAGGGGTTTGCAAACCTGCAGCAGCTTGCCCCCTGGAGGCTTTTTGACGATGTACCTTCGTCCCACAAAGGATGGAAGGACCGCTTCTGCTATGTCAAGATGGCAGAAAATCCGTTCTCGGGGGAGTTGCGCAATCACTTCAAGAGGCACCCGAAGGTGGGAAATGCCGCACTTCAGAAGGACGGGAAGAAGATTGCCGCTCTGCCACCGGGGGCCACAAAGCATGTGACCGTCAAGGATTCCACTCTCCCCGAAGACTTGCTGGCCCTAGGCTTCCGTCGGTACCGTTTTTTGGGCGAGAAGGATGAACAATACCCAGTCCTTGAGAGAGCCTTCGGTGGCAATGGAGGTAGTTACCGGAGGGTCCGCTTTATTGTACTTAGGATATTTGCATGTTCTTATTTCCCTTCCCCCGTCTTTTGAACCTTTTGGTCTGACCTCGTTGTTTGTTTTGCAGGTGTTAGCATGGACGTCTCCAGCTTTGCTGCTCTGAAGAAGAAGCTGGCCAAGGAGCCAAAAAAGAAGAAGGAGACGGGGGTTCAGAAACCTGTCGATGAATTCTTCAAGAACGATGGGGCGTCTCAGGTCCCGGAGGGGGAGGGACCCTCCAAAGCAGGTGATACCGGTGCTGGTGCCGGGGGCTCTAAGGGGGAGGAGCTCAAGAGAAAGAATTCCGGGAAGGGAGTTGCTCCCCCGGAGAATAAGAAGCAGAAGAAGGGGGCCTCCGGGAAGAAGGATGCTCCCATAGTGATAGTCGAGGAGCAGCCTTCCTCGAATCCTCCTGCGACTACCCCTCCTCGATCTCCTCCATCCCCCATAGACGAGGGAATCCGCCCGGCGGAGATCATCCAGTTCCCTGTCAAGTCGGGGACCTCAGTTATGCATGGCACCCTTCATCCTGTCGGCTTCATGAGGGGGGTCATGGCCCCGAAGGATAGGTCAGTGCTGGCCCGCCTCGGGGATGACATCCTCGATTATAAAGTCGCGAGCTACAGCACTATGGTGAGTTGTCTTCCCTTTTTATCTCCTTCAATTCTTTCTTTTTTACGATAGCCCCCGGTGGACCATTCTGATGCCATATTTTCGTTTTATGTGCGTTTATGTGCAGGCTGCCTTGGCTGCTTCTGAGCAGGCCCGAAGGGTTGAGCAGCTGAGGATTGCCAAGTGCCAGGCGGACGAGGCCCTGAAAAAAGCTGATGAGGAGAAGGTCACCCTTAGGCAGAGGGTTGCTGATGTAGAGGCGAGCCTTCGGCTGGAGAAGGAGGCCACGGAGCAAAGGCTCAAAGATGCTGAGGCCAGGGGGAAAGCCGCAGCCGAGGAAATTGCCGCAGTCGCCGCCAAGACCGCCGCCGAGGCCGCCGATATCGCCAAGGCCGAAGCGGTAGCTAAAGCTGAGAAGAAGGTCGTCGAGTCTTTTCTTGCCGAGGGCTGGATGGCAGCTGATTACGAGGGTTGGGTGGCCTCGGTGATGGAGAAGAGGGTGGATGCTTGGACCCAAGGCCCCGGGGCTATGTGGCTGGCCCGGAAAGGCAAGGATTACTACGATGGCGGGGAGTTCTTCACTCAACGCTTAGTGTACCGGAGGCTGGCCCGGCATTTGAAGATAGAGCCAAAGGATTTCAACCCCGCGGCGTATGGTCTCCCCCTCCTTCAGCCAGACGTTAGAGTGCCACTTCCCCCGGGCGAAGAGAGACCAGATCTCGAAGACTCGGAGCTGCTGGCAGAAGCCGAGGATGCCGAGGAGGAGGTTGGGGATGGCGCTACCTCCGAGCCGAAAGTTGATGCGGCCCAAGGAACTCAGACTTAGGAATTTTTTGATGCATCATTTTGTAATAGCTTGTAGCTTCCGGCTTCTGCCATGTAACGCAAACCAAACATTTTGTTGTTACTTTGAATATTGGTTTTTGCTAATGAATGATTGTGCCTTCGGGCTTTTGCGAATGAATGCTTCCTTCATCTGAACTTGAATGTATGCCTTCGTTTCTTTTTGTGTTTGTGTGTGAATGTATGTTTCTTCCTTCCTTCCATAGGAATGTATGCTTTCCCGGAGGCCCCTATTTTGTGGAATTAGTAATTTTTTGTAAGTGCAAATCCAATGCGCTGGAAGCCTTTGGTAAAAACAAATCTCTGTAATGCCGAGGGCTTGTTGTAGTGGACTTAGAAAACCTCAGAAAACAATCTAAGTAACACTCCACTGGAAACCTTCGGTAAAAACAAATATCTGTAATGCCTCCAGAGTGGAGTGAAAGGACCGAGGGCTAAAATTTTCCAAGTGGAATCGCATCCTATGCCCCCGGAGGCCTTGGAAGCCTTCGTTTAGTAGTGTAGCTTCTGGTTATTGCCCAGTAGTTTAGGTGGCCATCGGCCACAAGTGTGTAGTTGAAGAATTGCTTGAGCCCTCGGTTGATGGCCGCAAGGGTTCATGAGTCTGTAGGTGAAGAATTGCCCTCTCCGAAGGGTCCACATTCGTGGATTTAGCCATTTTTCACAAACTTTTCATAGATGCTGTAGCGAATCCTTCGAGTGTGGGAACTGCCTGAGCCCCCGGTGCATATGGTTGCCGAGGGGTTCGAGATTATGGACTTGGTGAAATTGTGAGACTTTGTCTTCAACAGATCTAGTGAGTAGTCCCCGGTTTGACGAGTGCCTTCCGAAGGGTGCCAATATGTGGACTTAGAAATCTTTTCATCGCTGAATGAGCCTGGTGATCCTTCTTCCTTCGGTATGAACCCTCCGGCTCGTGTAGATAATAGATTCAGCTTGCCTTAGAACTTTGTGTATCCTCCGGTATGTAACATGGCGTTTTTATTCGAGCCAAATTTAGGTGAAGCTTTGATAGGAAGCCCTCTTCTTATGCCTTCGGTGGAATTCTTGTACTCCACAAGTTTTACGCAGTGAAGCATTCGGCCTTGTGGCCAGATGACTTGTTGTTTGCCAGATTTTCTTGTGAATTTGTAGGAGCCTTCGGGAATGTATATCCGAAGTGTTGAGCCTCCGGGGAGAATAGTATCCGGGGAGTTCCTTCCCCCCTACGCATCCTTTTTTTTTTTTTTTTTAGATGGTGTAGGAGAGGCGTCTAGAAACTTGGTTTCTAGGAAAGGCTTGGCCTATATGGGAGGCAACGGAATAAACCGTTGGCTCCCCCTTCGGGAATGACCTTCCGATATCCCGAAGGGTTTGAGGGTCGTTTCCTCGGCCCGAGACATCGTCTGTTGCCTGCTTCCCCTTGGGAGATAGCACGGAAAGCGCCTCGGTTTTGAAAGTCGTCCCCTCAGCCCGAGACATGGTCTGTTGCCTGCTTCCCCTTGGGGGATAGCGCGGGGAGCGTTTCGTTGTGGAAGTCGAATCCTGGGCCCGGGACATGGTCCGTTGCCTGCCTCCCCTTGGGGGATGGCGCGGAAAGCGTTCCTGGGAAGGGTTTTATTTGTGTGTGGGACACAAATAGCCGGGGGCACTTGGTACCAGTCGGAGCCGAGGGGTGTTTCACCCCCCGGTTTTTTTTTTTTTTTTTTTTTTTTTTTTATAGGAGGATAGAGTATGTATAAGTATGCATAATGTATGCATGATTGCGTCCTCGTGGGGTACGGCTTAGTGAGAAAACACTTGGTGTTCTCAAAGAGTGATAGGGGTGACCCATACACTTGGTACTTGGTACCTAGATTGTTATTCCCCCTCATCAGAGGGAGGGGCCTTGGGCCTATTTCGGTGGAGAGATGAGGGCTTGGCCACTCATGTGTAGGAGAGGAGGGGGGCCTTGGGCCGATTGTACAATATGTAGGTGATGAAGGCTTGGCCTTTTGATTATTCTTCAAAAACAGATGGGGCCTTGGGCCATTGATCATTTACACTTGTTGAGGATGAGGGCTTGGCCACTCATTGGTAAAATTTCACTAGGTGGTGCACATTCCAATGCCTAGGAATCTCTGTCCCATTGGGGCGTTTAAGCTTGTATGTCCCTGGTTTGATGATGGCTGAGATGATGTAGGGGCCTTCAAACTTGGGCGCCATCTTTCCTCCTTCGGTGGGTAGACTGGCCTCCCTTCGTCGGAGGACGTAGTCTCCCACCTGGAATTCCCGGGAGCGGACCTTGGCGTCGATGTAGCTTTTGACTTGTCTCCTATAGTTTTCGGCCCTGAGGAAAGCTTGCTCTCGGCGTCCTGAGATGAGATGAAGGTCGAGGGCCATGTTGGCGTCGTTGACCTCGGGCTCATATTGTTCCACCCTTCGGGTCGGAAGGGTCACTTCTGTTGGAGCCTTAGCCTCAAAGCCATAGCATAGGGAGAAGGGTGTCTCACCTGTTGCACGCCGAGGGGTAGTGCGGTAGGCCCATAGGATGTTATGAAGTTCTTCTACCCAGCCTCCCCCTTCGGCTTCCAGCTTCTTCTTCAACCCCTCGAGGAGGGTGCGGTTGGCGTTCTCTACCTGCCCGTTGCCTTGAGGGTAGGCAACGGAAGAGAATGTGTGCTTGATGCCCCAAGCTTCAAGAAGGGCACAGAAAGGGGCTGCCTCGAACTGAGCTCCGTTGTCGGAGATGATTTGTTGGGGGACGCCAAACCTTGTGAGGATATTTTTGAGAACAAAGTGGCGGCACCGGGCTTCAGTAATGCTGGCGAGGGGCTCGGCTTCTACCCATTTGGTGAAGTAATCAATGGCCACGATGATGTACCTGTTGTTGGAGGTACCCCTCGGCAGAGGGCCCACCAGGTCGATACCCCATCGGGAGAAGGGTATGGCGGTGCTGATGGGGGCATAGTTGACCGCTGGCCTGCCGGGGGCCTTCTGAAAGTGTTGGCAAGCGGTGCATCTTCGGGCTAGATCAGCACAATCTCTAGCCATCGTGGGCCAGAAGTAGCCCTGAACTATGAGCCTTCGGGACATGGAGAAGGGTCCCTGGTGAGCTGAGCAAGTGCCACTGTGCACTTCCTCCATGGCGACTTCGGCCTCATCTTGGTGAAGGCACCGAAGGAGGGTGCCGTTGTAAGATCTTTTGTAAAGCCTCCCATTCTCGAGGGTATAGCTGGGAGCCCTCAGTTTTGCTAACTTGGCGCGAGCTTCGTCTTGGGGCAGTTGCCCTGTGGTGGTGAAGGCGATGATGTCGGAGATCCAATCCTCCGACCTCAGGTTAATGTTCATGACGGGGCTCGCGTGGATGCTTGAGAGGCTGAGTTCCTCAATTCTTGCAATTTTGGAGAGGTGCTCGGGGGATTCATCCGAGAGCTTTGATAGAATATCGGCCTCGGAGTTTTGAGCCCTCGGTATTTGGGTGAGGGAATGTGCCTCAAATACCTTGAGCAACTCCTTAGCCGCTTCTTTGTATTGTTTCATCCTCCCTTCCTTGGCTTCGTATTCCCCGGAAATTTGACCCACGACAAGTTTCGAGTCACACTTAACGTGGACCATCTTGGCCTTCAGATTTGCTGCTAGCCGAAGGCCACAGAGGAGGGCTTCGTACTCGGCCTCGTTGTTGGAGACTTTGAAGGAGAAGCGGATGGCGTAATAGGCGCGGAAGCCTTCGGGTGTGATCAGAACTACCCCCCCTCCGCATGCTTTGGTGGCCGAGGAGCCATCGGTGTAGAGGGTCCACCACTCATCGAGGGGTGCCGAGGGCTCCTCGTCAGTTGCTGATCTTGCGGTGCATTCCGTTACGAAGTCCGCCAGGGCTTGGCCCTTAATGGCAGGCCTCGGACGGATGTCTATGTTGTATTGGCTGAGGAAGATGGCCCACTTTACCATCCGGGAGGAGCTAGTGGGACTTCTCATGAGGGCGCCGAGGGGTTGATGAGTGAGCACCTGGACCAGATGAGCTTGAAAGTAGTGGCCCAGCTTCTTGACGGTCCAAACGATGGCTAGCACCGTCTTCTCGACGGGAGAATACCTGAGTTCGGCCTCCCGGAGGGTTTTGCTGACGTAGAAGATGGCATGTTGGATGCCGTCTTCCTCTCGGATTAGCACTGAGCTGATAGCCGCAGGGCTAACACCGAGATATAAGTATAAGGTCTCCCCCACCTTTGGTTTGGAGAGCACTGGGGGAGAGGAGAGGTACTTCTTGAGTTCGTCGAAGGCCTCTTGACACTCAGATGTCCATTGGAAGCCAGCTGTCTTCCTCATGATTTGGAAGAAGGGGAGGGCCCTCTCGGCTGACTTAGAGAGGAATCGGTTGAGTGCCGCCAGGCGACCCGTCAGCCGTTGAACTTCTTTGACGTTGCGTGGAGGCTCCATGTTGATGATGGCCTGAATCTTCTCGGGGTTGGCCTCAATACCCCTTCGGCTGACCATGTAACCCAAGAATTTTCCTCCCTGCACGCCGAAGGTGCATTTCTTCGGATTTAGCCGGAGGTTGAATTTTTGCATGATGGCAAAAATCTCCCGGAGGTCGTCGGCGTGAGTGCTTGCCTTCTTACTTTTGACGATCATATCGTCAACGTAAGCCTCCATGGTGCGTCCTAGGACAGCTTGAAAGACCCTAGCCACCATGCGTGTGTAGGTGGCGCCTGAATTTTTGAGGCCGAAGGCCATCACAAGGTAGCAGAAGATACCTTCGGGTGTCATGAAGGCGGTTTTTTCAGCGTCTTCCTCATGCATGTAGATTTGATGATATCCGCGGAACGCGTCGAGGAATGACATGATCTCGCATCCCGCGGTCTCATCTACCAGTTGATCAATGTTTGGCAGAGGGAAGGGGTCCATAGGGCATGCCTTATTCAGATCAGTGTAGTCCACGCACATGCGGAAGGTAGGAGGCTTCTGTGCGAGGACTACGTTTGCCAACCAAGAAGGGTATTTCACCTCCTTAATGTGTTTGATGGAGAGGAGCATAGATACCTCCTTCTTCACGAACTCCCTTCTCTCGGCCGAGAGGGGTCTTCTCCGTTGCTGCACTGGTTTGGCCGAAGGGTCCACCGCCAGGCGGTGGGTGATAACCCTTCGGTCAATCCCTGGCATATC